CAAACTACAAACAGCAGTTAACAAAATACGTTCTTGAACTAAAAAATAAAAAATTAGGCTAAATGAAAACATACAAAATATACCAGTTAGAATTAATAATACAAATACTGCAAAATACCTAGGTACAATATTAGATGCACACTTCGGCTGGAAAGTTCAAATTAAGAAAACAAGGGAAGAACTTGACATAAAATACAAAAAAAAAGAATTGGGTGCTAGGAATAAACTCCTCTTTATCTATATATAAAAACCTTTTACTTAATAAACAAATATTACGACCTATTTGGACTTACGGCAGCCAACTCTGGGGGTTTGGCAAGAAAAATAATATAGAAATAATCTAGAAATTTTAGAATAAAGTAATGAGAAACGTGATAAATATTCCTTGGTAAGTGAGGAATAGTGACATCCATAAGAACCTGGGTATGGAAACTGTGGCTACATAATTATTAACAAGAAGGAAGAAAGTTATGAAAAACGACTCAACGACATAGGAAGAACAGAAAAAAAATATAAATAAGAATTAGAAAAGATCAAATGGATCATTGGTCGATATATTTTGAATGAAAAGGAAGATGTAAATTTCCTGTAAAGTAAGCTATTTAGAAACAAGAGACGATTTTTAGGGTCCATATTTAAAATTTGTGCAATATAGGATTAAGTTACCACAAGAAAATAGCTTCAAAGCAATATTAATTTTTTTACATTTAAAATAATATTTGAAAATTTTAATTTTGAAAATGATGCAAATCTGCCTTCAGTTATGTTGGGTGGATTGAGTAGCTCGACAGAACTGTTGCCGGTCCCAAGCCCGGATAAAGGAGGAGGGCTCTACAGCTAGGTTAGCACCCTACTGATAGACTTTAAAACCATAAGGCTTATAGAAACAGGATTATGCCTTGGAATAGGAATGATTTCATTAAGACGACTAACGCGAGAAAGACGACAATGAATTTATGGATAATAAGAAATAACTTCCCATTCTTACTCGGAATGTAAAGTCTCTAAACACAAGAGAGCAGGAAATTACAAAAGAGCTTGTAGAAAAAAATATAGACGTATGTGCAATACAAGAGACGAAGAAAAAAATGAAAGGGAAAAGAATCAAATTATGCTATATGACTATCTGATGATTTACAATGGTGTTGCGAAAGAAACCAGAGCCAGAGAAGGAGTCGCCCTGTTAGTATACAGAAAATTTTTACACCAAGTACAAGAATGTAGAAAGAAAGAAAGAATGAAGAAACTAAGGAGATTCATAACTGTTTGGGAAGCCATCAACGAAAGGCTCATAAAAATGAATCTAACTATCAAAGGAAAAAAGATTACAATTATTGGAGTATATGCAGTAAACGATGATGCACTGGTGAATATTAAAGATGACTTTTTTGAAAAGCTACATTCAGAAATTGCAAATATCGGCAGATCACGAGAAATTATAATCTTGGGGGACCTAAACAGTAGAACAGGCAAGAAACAACACAACAAAGTCATGGGCCAATATGGTGAAGAGGCTATAAATGACAACGGTACTAGACTAATAGCCTTATGCGAACAAAATGATATGAAAATCACAAATGGATTCTTTCCGAGATATCCGTAAATATACATGGACACAAAATACCCGAGGGCTGAAATCAATCATAGACTATACAATCATAAGGCAAAAGACTAAATTGATTGTACAGGATGTGCGGGTATATAGAGGAGCCACTTGCGGCAGTGACCACCATCTATTAAAAACAAAGCTCACAATAGGAATAGATAGAGCAAGAGATTTAAAAGAAGCTGCAGAGGAAATAGAAAAACTAACAGAAAAGAAATACAACCTAAACAGCTTAGAACAAGAAAGCGTGAGGGATTTATACAGGAGTAGACTAGATAAAAAGTTAGAAACCATGCAAGGTACCTGCAATGAAGAGCATTATCATTATATAAAAACATGTTTTTAAGAAGCAGCAACAGAGGCTCTCGGATTCCAAGTAAAAAACCACAGAAAAACTTCGTATTGGTGGGACGAAGAAATAGAACAAGAGATTAAAAATAAAAGAGAGAAGTATATAAACACAAGGACCGACGCTGATAAGGTAGAATACAAGAGGACCCAAGCTAAAGTGCGAAAAATGATATGCCAAAAGAAGAATGAGGCTTGGGAACAAAAGTGTAACATGATTAACACACATTTAGGAGGACGGAGAAGTACAGAAAGTTGGAAAGTATTAAAATCGCTACGACAGGAAAAGAAAAGAGATATAATATCATCAATCACACCGGATCAATGGGACGAATATTTTAAAAAACTCCTAAATGAGGACAGAGCGGAATTTTTAAATAACAGTGATACCAGCAACGTAAATATCTTAGCCTCACCATTACGAATAACAACAAAAGAAGCAAAAGTATGTAAGTCTTTAAAAAATAACAAAGCACCAGGACCAGGGAACATACCAGCTAAACTAATAAAATATGGCACAACAAAATTATATGAAAACCTGGCTAAACTCTTTCAAAGATACATCAACGGAGCGGAAATCCCAGAAGAATGGAAGACATCATGGATATCCACCATACATAAAAAAGGCAGACGGGATCAATGTGACAACTACAGAGGCATCGCTGTAACGAACTCGATCAGCCGAATATACGGAAAACTGATTAAAAATAAAATCAAAAACGAATATAAAGATATAGAAGCTGAGGAACAGGCAGGATTCCGGGCAGGGAGATCAACGGTAGACCATGTGTTTTGTATTACACAGATTATTGAGAAGAAACTGGCCGTCAACCAGGAGGTGCATCTGTTATATGTATAACAGATATAATATAAGCGCAAATTTAATAACAGCGACGAAACAATTGTATACCAAAACTGCAGCAAGGGTGAAAGTTGGAAGCGGACTATCGAGAGGATTCCAAATTAGCAAAGGCCTAAAACAAGGATGCTGCCTTTCACCGACATTATTTAAGATCTACCTCGAGCAAACTCTAAAACTTTGGAAACGCAAATGCAAAAACATGGGATTATTGATCAACAACAATACAATATACACTTTGTCATTTGCAGACGACCAACTTGTACTAGCGCAAGACTACGATGATATAGAATATATGACAAGGAAATTAATAGAGGAGTACAAAAAAGGTGGTTTGGAAATAAACATAAAAAAGACCGAATATATGTGTATCGGTGGGACACAGCAGGACCTTACACTGGGGAATGGCGAAATTATTAAACATTGCGACGCATATAAATACCTGGGTATGACCATCACACAAGAAGGAAACGTAGACCGGACGATAGAAGAAAGAAACAACCAGGGAAGAAAAGCAATTACCCTTCTCAATAGCATACTGTGGGACCAGGCAATATCAAACAACAACAAACATAGAATATACAATACAATTGTTAAGAGTATAATCACTTACAGCAGTGAAGTATGGCAAATAAAAGAAAGATACAAGAGAGAACTTGAAGCAACAGAAATGGATTTCTGGAGGCGCTCGGCAGGAAAATCAAGATTAGAAAGGGTAACCAACAACAGAATTAGGGAAATAATGAATGTGAAACACACAATAATAGATGACATTAGTACCAAACAGCTTAGATGGTATGGACACGTACAAAGAATGTCCGAAGAACGACTCCCGAAACAAATCCTAACGTGGACCCCTCATGGTAGACGAAAAAGAGGAAGACCCCGCCTTAGTTGGAGAGAAAGCATAAATCGAAGTATGAGAGAAAGAGAATTAGATGAAGACCTTTGGATGGACCGAAGTAAATGGCGACTAGGCATTGGAAGACGTAGGAGAACGTTTTAAAACCGATATATATATATATATATATATATATATATATATATATATATATATATATATATATATATATATATATAGGATATATATATATATATATATATATATATATATATATATATATATATATATATATAGTTCCCCTAAATGATTCCCCTAATTGAAGTCAGAATAGAAGGACAACTTACAGAGCTTATAGAAATAGGCAGCGAAATAAGACAACGGGATTCATTAAGCCCCGTGCTCTTCACTTAGATCATGGATGAAATCATCAAAAGCGTTAACAAAGAAAAAGGATACAGAATGGGAAACAAAGAAATAAAAATACTCTCTTACGCAGACGAGGCAATATTGATAGCCCAAGATGAAGATAGTCTGCAAAAGACTGGTCACAGATTTAATATAAGAGCAAAAAAATTTAATATGACAATCTCATCTTAGAAAACTAAAACAATAGTAGTCAACAAAAAACCAACCAGATGTAAAATAGAAACTGATGGCATCAATATTGAACAAGTAGTGGAAATAAAATACCTGGGAATTACACTGTTCAGCTATGGAGACCTGGACAAAAATGTGAGAGATCAAGTACAAAAAGCAAATAGACTGACAGGATGCCTTAATAATACTAAATGGCAAAACCGACACATTAACACTGAAAAGAAATCAAGGCAAGTTTCTGAGGCATATGTAACCACATATGTCTCAAAAACAAGATCCGTCACAGCCACACTACAAAGGGAACTGGAAACGGCAGAGATGAAAGTACTAAAAAGAATTACAGGAAATATGCTGAGAAATCGAAGGAGAAGTGAAGACATTAGAACAAAATGTAATGTGCACAGTGTATAAATGAATGGACAGAAAAAAAAAGAATGAAATAACCACATAAGCATAATGGAGCAGACCCGTGTCGTCAAAATGGAGTAACAACCTTCCATAGAGGTATTAATTCACCAATGAACAAGTAGAATTGCCTATAAAGAGAAAGAAGAAGCAAATGATTTAAAAGAAACCTAAGAAAAGGGTGGGAAAATAGTATCATCAGTTACAAAATGAATTTAACTGATTAGGTAGACAGCTGAATCAAAAGCCAACCGTAAGAAGGTCCATGTCCTCAGGGGTTGTAAAGCTAGACTACTACCGATGTAAAAATGTATATGTATTATTTATTATATTTTACTTACCTTATTCAAAGATTTAAATTAAATAAAAATCAAAGCAGAACAAAGTAACCACTTTGTTCAAACTTCTTAATCTGAATGTTAACCTTTCTGTCTAATTATTATCAATCCTATCGATTAGGCAATAAAAGTGAAAAAATTTAAACTTGGAGAATATTAAGTACTATTATTAGATAACGCATATTTATCGACAATTTTTTAAGAGCCCAAAACGCAAATACTTGAGATTGTCTCAGTTACCTTAGACTTTATTGTGGCAAATATAAGGTTTTATGATTTACTTTACTGTCCTTCAAGATATCACTGCCTCTTCACTTCATACAGGTAAAAACAATTTGGAAATCATCGTGTCAAATCGTGTCTACATGTCTGATAAAATGGTAATACCTAGTATTGCAAAGTTCTTTGCACTCGACACACTTGAATGTAATAATACGTTTTAACACATTTAAACATTTAGAAACTAGGTAGTAATTGAATGCTATGCTGGAACAACGTTATTAACGCCAAATCAAATTTTGTCGACAAATTGAAAAAAAAAACACCTTATAATTGATTATTTTGAAAAAAATATATTTATGAGTATAATATGATAGACTATAGGATGCATAACATTAATATCAACAAAAATAACCTTAGATTATACTATGAAGAACTACTTACTATCGAAGTAGAAGATCCAAATCAACCAACCCCAGGAGCAAGCAATAATACACCATTGGAGCCTCCATAAATTCAAAAAGTACGAAATGCAATAAAACACCTAAAAAATAATAAATCTCCAGGAAGTGATGGTATACCCGTGGAACTTATTAAATGTGGAGGTCCTACTCTGACTAATCGTATATATAAAATCGTACTGAGAGTCTGGAACGAGAAACAAATCCCGGAAGAGTGGTGTATTGGGATCGTTTGCCCACTACACAAAAAGGGTGATCAATTAGAATGTAGAAACTATAGTGGAATATCCCACCTGAATACAGCATACAAAATTTTTTTTTAGTATTTTATATGGTTGCCTGAGTGCATATTTAGAGAAGCTTTTTGGCGAATATCAAAGTGGTTTTACGCCTGGTCGATCAACAATAGACCAGATCTTTGTGCTAAGTCAAATACTGGAAAAAACCAATGAATTCAATACCGACACATACCACCTTTTCGTAGATTTTAAATCGGTCTATGATAGTGTCCTAAGAAATAAATTGTATGAAGCCATGGATGAATTCCACATCCCCGACAAACTGATAAGATTGGTTAATTGCAAAGTCGAAATACAGGACGAACAACCACAGGCATTTGAAACGCATGTTGAGCTGCGACAGGGAGATGCGCTGGCGTGTCTCCTTTTCAACATAGCTCTAGAAAAGGTTGTCAGGGATGCCGGAATAGACAACAGAGGAAACATTTTTAATAAATCATCCCAAATTTTGGCATATGCAGATGATGTTGACCTAGTTGCCTGCACAACACGCAAGCTAGAAGAAATGTATACCATCTTGTCAAATGCCTCAAAATATACGGGCCTGCAAGTAAATGAGGAGAAAACTAAGAAAATGGCATCAACACCCAACAATAGAGCCAGAAACATCGGCCACCAATTCACGGTTGATAACTCTACCTTTGAAGTGGTGGACAAATTCACTTACTTAGACTCCCTGATCACCAAGGCAGATGAAAACCCCCTGATTATATTTAAACGAAGGATCCTGAGAAGAATATTCGGTGGCATATGTGAAAACGGTGTTTAGAGAAGAAGGTACAACTACGAAATATATCACAGATATAAATATATATTTGGTGGTAAAGACGTAGTATCTCTTATAAAAAATAGGTAGGTACGATGGGCAGGACATCTGGCAAGATTACAGCAGAACATCCCTCCTAGAAGAATCCTTATGTCACAACCTGTGGGAAGTAGAAGTAGGGGTAGGCCAAAACTTTGATGGAGTAGATGGAGTAGATGGTGTAGATGAGGATGGTAGAAAAATAGGCGCAGCAAACTGGCAACGGTTGGCAATGGATAGAACTGAATGGCGTAATAGACTTGGGAAGGTCGAGGCTCTTTTATAGGGCTGTAGCACCAATGATGATGATGATGATATACAAAACAAGCATTTATAAACATATTATATATGTTATATTTTAATAAAACAACGTGTTAAATCCCCGTCGGTTAAAACGTTGTTGTGTGAAAGTAAGGCGGTTAGTTAAAACCACGGTTCCTAGACTTACAACGGTTACCTACTCCGACTAACCAATACACATTAAGCCCGAAATTACGTCACGAGAGTACAGTAATTTAAATCGTAACATTGTTAATCGGCGTTTTTCTGTCTTTGATGTATGGAACATAGTAAAGATAGTTATGAAATAAATATGTTTAGTGGAATATAATACCTGGAAAACTGTTAACAGATACATAGGAGTTGTTTGCGTGAAATCAAATATTTGCTGTCTTTCATTTTATTCGGATATGCTCTGTGTGAGTACGAGAAACACAATTCGCTAAGGATTTCTGCTTAGTTGTAAAAGACATGTCGTGAAATGTAAGTTTTAGATTCCCCATGTCCCTTTTAACATCTTTTATCAACGTCTGTTAGCCTTGCAATTTTTAGAAGGCTCAGATTATAAGCAGAAATCTGAATTGTGTTTCGAAACTATTTTACGGATTTTATTATTAGATGTCGCTATCGCGTCCGTATTGAAGCCATTTTAGTGTTGCTTCTTAAAAGACAGAAAATATTGATTTTTCACGTTGAGAACACCTATGAATAACTGTTCTGATGAGATCTATTAGGTCGAAATACGTATCAACAGATACATAGGAGTTGTTTGCGTGAAATCAAATATTTGCTGTCTTTTTCATTGTATTAAAAAAGATTCCTGCATATTTCTCTAACAATCAAGGACGGCCTATTGGCTCTGGTGCATTTGGGTTTGGTTCAAGAGGAACGCTAGTGTCATATAAACCAATACAAAAAACAAAAACGTTCTGTTATATTCCACTATATACCATGGGGACGACATTGATCTTGTAACTGGAAAACCAAATATAATAGCATATAACAGCACAAAAAGCGGTGTTGATACTGTAGATAAATTATGCGCATAATATGATGTTGCACGTTGTTGTAGAAAATGGCTTATGGTTGATTTGTACAGCCTTTTAAATGTTACAGCAATAAATTCCTTTGTTTTTTAAAATTGAGGACATTTCCGGACAAAGGGCACATAGTCAAAATGGTGGTTTTGAGAAAAACCCAATTTAAAATTAAGTTTTATTTAACTTAATCACGTTTATGAACTTGTTTGTGTGATAATATTTTACATAATTTATATAACCTTAGCTGCAGTTTTTTAAACTCCTTTAGTAATGTGTAATATATTTTTGAATACAGATAAATGTCTAAATATGAGTGCTATGTGCCCTTCTTCCGGAAATAGACCTTTTTGGTGCAAATTATTAAAACTTTCATTTATTTTGTGTGATTTAAGGTTATTTTCTACAAACTGTACCTACTGTGAGATCATGGGTAGAACAAATAAATATATTAACATCTTTTAGAATTACACAACTACTCCTTTATTAATCATAACAAAGTACTATAAATCAACATCGGGCTATATTAGAAAACTTTTTTTATACAATTCAGATAGAAAATAACATTATAAATGGTCCAATATGTATACTATACTAAGGTCTATTAAAAAACAATACATTGATTTGAAATCTGAAAGGAAAAGATATTAAAGTAGCCTCATTTACTGTTTCTCGTTAAGAAGAATGTTTGAGCATACACTCAAGCTACGCAGCACTATCTATGTACAAATGTTTATACACACTTCTCACATCCTTAATCTTTGCCTCACTGACTTCTGGAAAAGGAACTGTCAAAGGTTGAACTTCTTCTAATTTTTCAATGCTCACGCTGTTTATATACTGGAAGGGAGTAAATGTTGAATGGTAGTTTTTAGAAGTACGGATTGTTCCATTTGGATTGAAATTTATCATCACATACTTTATGATAGTAAATTTTTCATGAATAGAAACTGGAATTTTTTTAAAAAAAGGAGCCAAGGCTGTCTCCCAGTCTTTGATAATGGATCGGTCCATTAACATCTCGAAGTTGGAAGGGTTGTGTCTTGATGTTACAATGGCTTCTAGCCAAGGTTTTGCAGTTCCAAGCTTTTCTATTTTCTTAATACTAGAGCGCACTATTCCAAAATTCCTGTCGCACTGTGAAAATGAATGGCCTCTAACATGATAAAGGTGTGTTATTGTAGCCTTACGAATTTTTGAAAGCCAAAAACAAAACTTAAGTAAATTTGCATTCCTGTTTTGGCCACCTGTTGCGTCTGATAACAAACTATATTTTTTACATCAGGATACTTAACAAAAATTATGTTTAAACAGTGGAACAAAAATGACACAACAGAATTGGCATTCTTAGTTGCCTGTGTTTCCATAAAACAGTAGAAATAGGATGAATCATCTTTGTGATTGTGAATATTAAAAGCATATAGCCACAACATTCTTTTGTAAAACTGGCTGTTTACGTTGAGTTTGGAGATAGTTTTGACCGTAGTCAAATTCTAAGACTACCAGAGTAGGATCTGTCTTTGACTGTTCGATGTAATGTTTCTTCCAGTACTGCCGCCTCTTTATTTTTCTTTTGTGTAGTTCGAACTGTACTCTACACTAGTCTAAGGGGTTTCGCTTCAGTTTCTCCACACTTTCAGAACAAAAATCACAAACATCTGTCTTAGGGGCCCTAAACCCATAGTTGAAATAAGATTTAAAAGTTCTAAAATAATGCACATAGGACATTTTAAGTTTCTGCCCGGTCTTGTCTTGATAAAATTCTTGAAAACTTCTATAAAAGTACTTTCACGCCTAATTCTGGGTTTTCAAAATACAAAATGGATGTTTTCTTTGCACAATAATGGCTTTTGTCATGTGGAATAGGTGATAAATGAGATCCCATAAAGTCAATAACATCATCAGTCAGTTTATGAGGGCGATTTTTATGTAAGCCACGTTTCTCTTCAAAGTCTAAGCCCTCTAAGATTTTTGACTGAATAATTCTGACACGTTTTACTGAAATTTG